CAAGATCTTGCCATCTCTGCTTCATACATCTACTGATTTGCAGGAACCCAGGACTTTTAAGCAAGCTTGTAATCTTCCAGAATGGCAACGGGCTATGCAAGAGGAATTTCTGGCTCTACAGCGCAATCACACTTGGGTTTTAGTTTCTCCTCCATCCGGTGCCAATATTGTGGGATCCAAATGGGTATATCGTATTAAACAGCGAGCTGATGGCAGTATTGAGCGTTATAAGGCTCGACTTGTAGCGCAAGGGTATACACAGCAACCTGGGATTGATTATGATGAGACTTTCAGTCCGGTGGTCAAGCCCGTTACCATCCGCACAGTTCTTACACTTGCTATTTCCAAGTCTTGGCCAATTCATCAACTTGATGTCAAGAATGCCTTTCTCAATGGGTATTTATCTGAGCCTGTTTATATGTCTCAACCCCCTGGATTTGTTGATCCGCAGTATCCAGATCGTGTTTGCCTTCTTCAACGAGCTCTTTATGGTTTGAAACAGGCTCCTCGTGCCTGGTTCCAGAGGTTTGCTGCTTTTCTTCATTCCTGTGGCTTTGTTCAGGCATATTCTGATTGCTCTATGTTTTTATATCGCTCAAATGGTATGCTGGCAATTCTGCTCTTGTATGTTGATGATATTATTCTCACTGCTTCTACATCGTCCCTTTTGCATCGGATAATCTCTTCATTGAAGCAGGAATTTTTTATGACAGATTTGGGTGTTATTAATTATTTTTTGGGTATTACCGCATCTTTTAACCCTGATGGTCTTTTTCTCTGTCAAACTAAGTATATATTTGATTTGTTGGCTCGCACTGGAATGTCTGATTGTAATGCTGCTGCTACTCCTCTGTCACCAAGGCACAAATTGGCTGCTTCTGATAGTCCTCCTTATTTGGATTCCACTCAGTACCGTAGTATAGTGGGTGCCTTACAATACCTGACATTTACTCGTCCTGATATTGCTTTTGCGGTTCATCAAGTTTGCCAGTATATGCATGCTCCAACAGAAAATCATTTTCAGGCAGTAAAACGGATACTTCGGTATTTGAAGGGTTCTGCTCATTATGGTCTCCAGTTATTTAAGGGATTCTCCCCTTCGTTGCATATTTATACTGATGCTGATTGGGCTGGTTGTTTGGAAAGTCGGCGTTCTACTTCCGGCTACTGCTTGTTTTTTGGCAAATCCCTCATCTCTTGGTCTTCTAAAAAGCAGAATACTGTTGCTCGATCTAGTGCTGAGGCTGAGTATCGTGCTATGGCTAATGCCGTTGCTGAGGTTGTTTGGGTTCAACAATTATTAGCTGAGTTACAAGTATTTCTCTCTTCTGCTCCTATTGTTCTTTGTGATAATATCAGTGCTATCTATTTGGGTCTCAATCCTATACAGCATCAGCGAACCAAACACATAGAGATTGATATTCATTTTGTTCGGGAACGGGTTGCTTCTCGTGCCATTCTTTTGCAGCATGTCCCCTCCTCTTTACAATGTGCTGATATTTTTACTAAAGCTTTATCATCCACTGCTTTCTGCTCTCAACGGTCCAATTTGTGCGTACTTCATCAGCCCGCTCAAATTGCGGGGGGATGACAGTATAATATTTGAGGGTATTTATGTAATTCTGTAGTATAGTGCTGTATATACATATAAATATGTAAACCTAATTCTGGATTGGAATGAGA